AATAAATTAATATATATATATATATATATATATATATATAGAATAGTAAAAAAACGATAAACAGATACTAAATGGACCTTATCTTAAGGTGAAAATTTGAAAAATACCAGTTTAACAATTTCTTGTTTGAAACTACTTCAACTGCTTCAGTTTTTAATATTAATCTACACTGCTTGTTACTGGCTTGTTGCGTGAGGACTTTGTTAACTGTGCTGTGGTGATCAGTGTCTTCCTGCAGCAGGAAATAACTTTTGAATATGCGGGGGGATAAAAATCGGGGTCCACATGAGTTCAAACCAATCAGTTTGGTATAAAATAACAATGAGCTTTGTGTTGCTTTGTCATCTCGATGAAACTAACGCGTTCATGAACTTTCACTTTGGGAAATTGTGTTCTGAATGTGAGTGAAAACATGTTATTGAAAGCCTGAGTTCAAACACGTATCATTTCTCAAATTATTTACATTGTTATTGGTAAAACGTCCATACAAGGAGTCTTATTCTCACTCTTTTCCAGTTCTTCACTCATGTATTTTCTATTTAACTGTGTGAATAGAGATACATTCTGCCGTGTCCTCCATCATCCACAGTGTCCCAGTTTCTCCAGCACAAAAAGACTCAAACTGTCTGACCCACAATGTTTCAACTCTCTCTCTGTCTGTCTGTCTGTCTGTGTGAGTGTGTGCGTGTATATGTTATAATGAGGCTGGGTTCATGCAGGCACGAATTTCCTGTGAATGACATTAAGATGAGAGAAGCACAGTGAATCATTCTGACTGTTTTATGTCTGTTGTACATTACAGAAGACATTAAAGAGCCTCTGTTTCAGATGGAGCCACAGCTTCATGCATTTATCCAGAATGGGGGACTGGGGCGCCAAATCAGGCTCCAGAGACACTTGTGGAAATTCCCTGAATCCTCCGATTCAGAGGGACTTTTAGCAAGTTCAAGGGGTCCCAGAGGAGGGTTCAGAGGGGGCCCTACTTCTAGCATTAAAGCAGGATTAAAAAACTGCAAATGAGCATATGAGCAACACACATCTCACGTATCAGAGCAAATGAAGCGTTGCAGTGTTTAGCCACAGGGTCGTGCAGCTGTGTGGGGCAGGGGCGGGTGTTTGGGTGTGTTTATTTGTGTTTGAGAACGAAACTGTTCTGAAACAATAAGAAAATAAAGTTTTATTTTTCTGATTCACTGGTTTTCTTGCTACCAGCGTTCCCTCTCCCCAATTCACTCTCTACGTAGCTCAACCACAGCTGTCTCTCTCTCTCTCTCTCTCTCTCTCTCGCTCAAACAAACAGTCACAAATCAAAGGAAACTTCTTGGTATTGCTATTCTGCAGCATAAACTGCAAGCCAGACACAGATGTGGAAGCTGGGTACATGAAATAAACACAACTGGGAGAGTATCGTGGTGTGGTCCGTCAGTTTCAGGGATATTTCAGGCCGACTGTTGAGCAGTTTGACCGGTTTGACCGCCGGATTGGCCACCGCAGCGTGACATCAGGTTGGGTTTGGTTCAACTTCTCTGCCAGTTTCAGCCCCCTCCTCCACAGCCTGAATGCACTACCCCCATTCAAAATGACCGTCGTGCACCAAAGCACCTGATTTTGTCTGAATCAGCTCTTAACGCGTAATGAAACTGCACCCAGGTGTGATGCCACAGTCAGATTCGACAGGTGGAAAGATATCATCTGTAGACATGTTATGTCAAGCGAGGGGACGCTACCAGCAACACTACCAGCCACTCAATGATGTGGATCATTCATATTGCTATTGTATTATGTTAATGTTAAAAAAAAGCGGGTTTCACTGGGAATGGATGTAGAGATCAACAGTTATCATACCAATGTCTTTCTTCAGTGGAAACAGAAGAGACTGTAAAAGGTCAACTGTAAAGACATGAGCATGTTGAAACGTGTGCCCATGCAGACACACAGCAGGTCTGTTGAGATAATGAACCTAAAAAAGTAGTAGCTAATTTTAGGGAGCGGGCCGAAGTGAAACCAGATGTGTTGCACGTCACAGCTATTATCAACTGATCAACATAATAAAACTTGTCTGAAGAAATCAGCCACTTTGAGACATCAGACTACAAAACATCCACGATCAAACGATTCCTGTGAGTGTGTACGTGCTCTGTTAATAGTTTAAGTAAGATCCATAAGAATAGCTGGAATAGCTGAGGGAGCTTTACCGTTTGATTTAATGTACTTTAATGGACAGCTCTGGTTCTCTAAAGTGCCGTGACACAACAAATCAAGCGCGCCTTAAAGCTGCCAGGCCTCTATTAGAGCGGGAATGGCCTGAAGGAGTCTTTAAACATGCTCCCCACCGAAGCCTCGATGGAAACTCTTTTTAACAACAAAAACAGAACACCTCCATGACGGTGGTTAAACGCAACCACTGTTTTGTCAACCTGTCATGTCGGGATACTCGTACTCTCAGAGCTTTGTGCTCTCTGATCAAATCTTGGTTCGCTTGAGTTGTATTTGGATACAAGTGGGACAGAAACATGGGCTTAATTCTACCAATTTCCTGAGGTAAACCTTGCTGGCTACACACTCAAAATCCCCCACTGAGCAGAAGCTTGTAAAAGAACTGAGGAGTTCAACGGCTGC